CTCTTGCTCAGGCTGGTTTCGAACTCCTGAGCTCAAACAATTCGCCCGCCTCGGCCTCCCAGAGAGCTAGGATTACAGGCGTGAGCCACGGCACCCGGCCCCTCTTAATTCTTTGTATGTCATTCTGGGCAACTGCAATCTATCCACTATTAGATTTTGGCCAGTTGTGTTAACCAGTTTTGTTTCATTGATACCTTATGGCGCCATCTACTGACACAAATTGGTAATCATAAGCTTTAAGTTTATTAAAAGAGTTAATGAAGGACTGAAGAAAACAGATTTACAGGGGACGAGAATTTTAATACTGGACAAACCCTTAGATGTTACCCGACCTAATGATGTTTTTTATAAAAGAATAAATTCAGATTCTATTATCTGTGATAACTATCTTTTCTTCCCCACTTATTTTATGAATTGTTGCAGTGTTACAATTTAAAGAATTTCATGGTCATTGTGGCATTTTTATGAATCTTCCTCACTCTTAGAAATAAATTATAAAATTAAATAAAATAAGGAGTTAAGTAACTTATAAATTATAAATTTATGGTAGCATTCAGGAAAGACTGAATAAAGAATAAGGGAACTTTTCAAAAGATGATGTTTTAACACAGAAGAATGGATTATATTATATATGGGTGTGTGTATATATATATATATATACACACATAAAAGGAAAAATTAAACTAGGTGTTTAATAGAACAAGCTGTTGTTCCCCACACTAAAAATTTAAGTCCAGTATTTTGATGAAAGAAAACATACAGAAAATAGAAAGTATGGGTCAGTGAGTTATATGTATGTAAGTTTGATGTATATACATTAGGAGGATTGCTTTTCTTTCAATTTAATATATTTTAGCTACCATGCGTTTTGGAAAAAGGGATATTGGGAACCCCTTTAAACTAGAAAGAACGGGTATAAAACTTTTAAATGGACGTGCAAGAATACAGAAGTTTGCCGTGAGATGAGTTGGGGCTGTTTTATGAACTAACTTTCTGCCTGAATATATCAGAGAACTTTGTGGATCGAAGGTGAACAGGCATAACACTATAAGCAGCATACACTATTAAGGTCATCTATGGTATCCCTGGTTTTCTTGCCTTCGAAATACTCATCTAACCAATAAGAGTGTGCCCTGATGCCCTCTTTTTTATTTCCTTTGTCACTTTAGCGGCGTCACCCTTTACACCAGAAAGCTGGCGGGCACTATGGGGAAAAAACAAAACAAGAAGAAAGTGGAGGAGGTGCTAGAAGAGGAGGAAGAGGAATATGTGGTGGAAAAAGTTCTCGACCGTCGAGTGGTAAAGGGCAAAGTGGAGTACCTCCTAAAGTGGAAGGGTTTCTCGGAGTAAGTTTTACCGACATGGGTAAATTGAATCGTGAGCTGCTTATCGGGAGTCTGGCAGTGTGCGAGACGTCCAGTGCTATGGTGGACACAGTGTGACTCAGACCTGGCCTTCATGGCTTGTAGTCTGGTTAGGAATATGACCTATGTGCACAAAGTGCTTATAATACAAAACAGTGATTTCTGAGGAGCAGTTTTGTGCGTGGTTATAAACCAATCCACGTTTGCAAAGAAAAGTAATTTTCCTTTGAAGGAAGCAAATTTCTAAGCTTTCTATACTAAAAAGCCACCCATGCCCCAAGAAATTTCTTCCTACCCAAGTTTTTGGTCTTGGACAAAATCCAGCTATTTGTTATTAACTCCTCTTTTCCAAGGACACCTGAGCTCTTGTCCTCCAGTGCTTATCCTCACTATGAGTATGCTTACTTTGAGTGGAAAGTGTGACTTGCTGTGTCCTCTGGTTTCAGTGAGGACAACACGTGGGAGCCAGAAGAGAACCTGGATTGCCCTGACCTCATTGCTGAGTTTCTGCAGTCACAGAAAACAGCACATGAGACAGATAAATCAGAGGGAGGCAAGCGCAAGGCTGATTCTGATTCTGAAGATAAGGGAGAAGAGAGCAAACCAAAGAAGAAAAAAGAAGAGGTAAGGCGGAAGTAAGAATTTTTACTAGCCCAGAATTCAGAGTACTGTTGAAAAAGCTGAAGGCCAGATTTATTCTGCTTCTTATTTGATATTAGCAGCCATCTCTCAGTATAGATAGGCTGAATATTTGGGAGTGTACTCATGAAGCCACATGATCTACTCTTACTTTTTATCCATGGTACAGGAACAGTAAGTGGAACACTTACTGGGGACAGATACAAGGGCAAGTGAATTCATTCCTGTAAATAGATAGCTTTCGATGTTCATTAAAGGCATGAAGTGGCTATTTTGACATATTTAACACCTTAAAGTTGTCTTTTGAGGGTGAAAAGATAGTTGTAAACATTTATTTTGCTTGGGATGTATGTCCCTTTTCACATATGGGAAAACCTTAAGCACTTCAGACCTTGATGGGAAGGCCTGTTACTTGGAGCCAAGGTACTGGCCAAAAAGTTTGTAATTGCATTAATCAAAGATATAGGACTAATTCCAGTCTGGATAAGAATCCTCTGTATATAAAATTGTTCCACCCATCTGGTTTTTCCAGTCAGAAAAGCCACGAGGTTTTGCTCGGGGTTTGGAGCCGGAGCGGATTATTGGAGCTACAGACTCCAGTGGAGAGCTCATGTTTCTGATGAAATGGTGAGTCTGCCAGTGGCTCTGTGTGGTTGTTTTTTTTTTTTTTTTTTTCCTTCTCCCCGTCTGTTCCTTGCCAGAGAAAAAGAGCTGGACCTTCGAAATTCCAGTCGCCCAGGTGTGAAATCTTTAAGATGGCATAGTCCTTCGATAGTGATCCTCTGCCTGACTGCCAACTTGGACTCATGAGTTACAGGTAGGGGCCTTTAGGAATCTCAGATCTTTGCCCGTTTTTAGGAGGTGGGAGAAAATCTAGAGTGGAGAGAGTTTGGGGAGGAATCACATTTCACTTCTATAAATGAAGGAAAAAAATATGAAATGTGATTGGACTACCCTCCCCTTCTACCACCTCCTTAATAAAGATCGGGCTGGCCCCAGGATCAGAAATTCTGTTAACTTCTGAGGGTTAAGAAAGAATTTGTAGTAGTACTTCCTTTCCTTTGTCTTTGATTTTTAGATCCCTTCCCATTTGTGCAGATTCTACAATTCCAAGATCAGCCAGCAGGGGTCAGCAAGGACCCTTAACTGTTACTGAGCCAAGAGCAAGCCTGCTTTTTTCCACTATGCATATAAATACCAATGATAGTAATACTCCATGAAACAGCTTAATGAAGATAGATATCTTGAGAATCTCAAGAACTGCAATTAACCCAAAATTCTCTATAATTTCCCTACTTTGTCCAAAAGCAAGCCTTTCTTTGCTTTCTCTTGTTGAAAATGCTTGTGCCTTTATTTTCCCCCTAAAGTGGATCTCAGTCATTTTCCTTAAAATATAAAAGTTAGGAGAGAATAATTCTAAGCCATTGCCAATGAAGGCAGCATTCTAGGGACTTTTTCCTTTTGTCAGTTTGGAACCTTTTCTGAAACTCCTATCTGTATTAACTCTTCTCCTTTAAGAAGATGGCTGAAGAGGCCAAACTTTAGCACCACTGTGTCATAACTAGTTAACCCTCTATTTTTTTCCTATGCATTCACTGGATCTGGTCCTCTTTTAGCTGATTTATTAACCTCTAGGAGAAAAGTTCATGGTGCTGCTTATGGCAGGAAAGAATTGATACAGGATTTAATTGGTTCAGCTAGAATGCACTTTCTCTGCATGTGATCAGAGTTAGTTACAATAGTATCTCCATATTGCTTAAGATTGTACTCCTTTGATTGACTCACAACTGTGCCTACAGGTTAAAATTGGATGTTGGTTATAAACCAGGTTCATTTTTAACAGTGATTTTTGCTGGAGGGTGGAGATATTTGGCCATTTCCAAAAGTAGCGAGTATTTCTGTGCAGGGAAATAACTAAATTTATCTCAGAGGGGGTTGTTCAACTGTCAACAAAGGGCAACATGCTTCGGGTTCCCCATACTGTTATAGTCCATTTGCTTCCCATTCTCTTGGGTTCGTTGCTCAAAAACATACTTATCAGCTTACTCTTCTCTGGTTTCCTGTTGCTGGGGTTCTGGAGGTTTTGGAGGGTGCCTTGTCAGAGATCTCACGTATCTCCTGCCTGCCCTGTGCTACTGCTTCCATCTGGGACACTCCCATTGACCTGAAGATAAGAGTTTACTGCTAATTCCCTTATAATGTGTAAAATTTGAGAACATTTTATATTTCAGGAAAAAGTATTGAAGTGTTTCTCACAGGTATAATTGGGACCTTGCTAATGTTTTTACACTTATCGTATGGCATGGTAGTTTCTAAATTCTGCCTGTGGTGGGGCCACAGTAACCTTTCTGGGAGGAAGGCTTCCCCGTGGTCCTACTCAGACCCCAGCTCCATGGACCGACAAGGCT